TGCCTGAAAAATTAACAATCAGGGACATGGGACAGGAACCTCGCGAGAAATCACTAGCTTACCAGGATACTCAACGGCAAGATAAACAGCACAGTGACAATGCCATTCAAGGACTTTAACGGGTGAGCAAATCACCAGAGCAACTTTTGTCAGCATGAGACGCTTTCCTCGCCAAAACGTTTTCCACGCCACCTGCAGACTCTCACCACCAGCGTGAGATTACGGGAACACAGGAAGACCATCTTAGTGACAGTGAACTTGAAGAGTGCCTGAAAGGCCTAAAAAGCGACAAAGCACCAGGGAATGACAAAATACCAATAGAGGCATATCAGCACTTACCTACAGCCAAACCTGAACTCTTCCGTGTACTTAGTAGTACACCTGATCTTGGAGTCTGAGATCATACCAGCTGAACTCATAAAAGGCATATTTATCATGCTCTACAAGAAAAAGGACCGCAACAACTTTGCTAACTACCGGGAAATTTGTCTCCTCAGTCATGCCTACAAACTCCAATCTGCTGTAATCGCCCATCTCCTACACGTTCAACTTGAGGCACTAATCCCAGAGAGCCAGACAGGGTTCAGACCTGCAAGGGACACCAGCAACAACGTCTACGTCCTGAAATGGACAACAACCATGTTGCTGCGTGAGTCGAAACCAGCAGTTGTCACCTTCATCGACTATGCCGCTGCCGACACTGAAGTCAACTCTTTCTCTATGAAGTGCTCGGCGCTGCTGATGCAACTGTCAGAATTATCAAAGCTATATTTAGAGTGGCCACCAGGTTCGTTTGTGTGACAAGCCCTAAATGCAACCAAGAGCTCTCAGCTGAACCGATCAAAATCTCACGAGGTGTAGTATACTGCAAGGAGTCATCTTCTCTCCAGTTGCGTTTATTGTCGGACTCATGCGTATCTTTGCACTACATAACAGTCCTAACTGTCGGCAGTCCACCTTACCAAGTAACCATCAGTGACCTGGAGTACGCTGACGACGCAGGTCTGATAGGCGGAAGTGTCCAAGAGGCCTCCGAACGCAACTCCGCAATAGCCTGTGGTTCCAGGGACGATACTGCCAAGGAAAGATCAGCCCCTAACACCAAAGCTATGCACGTACATCGCAAAGAGCAGGTATCGAAGACAACGGATGCGGAAACTCAAACACAGATGCCCAGAGTACACCAGAGATTTTTCAACTTAAAGAGGCCTAGCCATTAACCGAAGTCATCCCTCCATCCGGCCACTCAACAAGGCCAATGCAACAACTAAAAAACGTTCACACATTTGACTACCTCTGAAGCCGCATGCAATGTGATAGCGACCAGAAAGCAGATGTGAAACACAGAATGGGCATCGCCCAATCCCGCTTGAGCAGCCTACAACATATACGGAGGGACTACAGACTCTCCCAGTCAATGAAATTACGCCTATACAAATCTGTTTGTTCAACCCTCACACATAGCTGTGAGGCATGGAACTTAATACAGGACGTCACCAGGATGATCAATGGTTTCTACAGCAGATGTTTACATTTGATAACTACTTTCTGGATACAGCAACACATTTAGACAATATCCTGGTCTCAGCCAGAGGTGTCTGGTAGGAGACTCCGGTACCTGGGCCACATTATCCGTATGGATCCCTCCTGACTGGTCAGGCGCACCCTGAAAGCCAACATGTGTGGAGGAGACAACCCGCCTGATGGATCCCTGCTGATGGACTGTGAACACTTACCTTTTAACAGCCAGACTAGCAAGAAATATGGGACTGTGAAATGATAGAGTAAATAGAATAAAGTGCTCTATATTTTAAGGCATGTAGCATAAGATATAGGTCTGTTGATGTAAAACATACATACATACATACATACATACAAACATACATACATACATACATAATACATACATTTGTACTCAAAGTGAAGATGAAGATTCTCTGATGTAAAACGAGAAAAAACATTTCACTGTCAGCCAGGTACACAAATATGTTTTTACAAGAAAAAAAACGCGTTCCTGCAAATATACCAGTGCACAACTAGACATAAAAATAACTATACCTTGTTTTAAATTGCTAACAAGATAGGCAAATAAATGGCATCATTTGTGAAAATGGATAAAGCTTGTAAGTGATGCACATAGTTGAAATTGCTGAAATAACGTCCGACATGCGCCCAAGAACAATGTAATTATGTATCGTGTTCCGTGACCACTAATCACCAAAAACGTTCTATGAACTGATCAGCACTGTTTTCACAGGAAAAAGAATTCAACTCTCACATGCGTCATCCATGGAGACAGCACATAACATGTATGTGCTTGAGCCTGTGGGGAAGTGGGCAGCTGCATTAGGCAAGTAAACTGCTGTGTAGAACTGGCTTCATGTGAAGGTACGTATCCGGTTCGCGTGACTACTGCCATCTCGTTGTATTTTTATGTAAACAAGAATCAAAATCCGCGATGATCTCTTGAATACTGATTTTACTCGTTAAGCCATGTTAATTTGATTATGTGGATGGTATCCTCTGGGAACCCCAAAACTGACGCGAGCGTACGACATAGATCGCTTATTTTCTTCGATTTATAGTATGGTCGAAAACTTTTTTGGGGGGAGGGGGGAACGGACGAAAATTCACTCTTTCTGCTATCATCCGAACAAAAAACCTGACAAATGTATGGAGATTTTCATTTCATTTAACATGGATCCCCCCTGGCCGATTCCTGGGCGGCTCCCTGGCCTATTCCTTGCCGGCTTCTTGGCCTAATCGTTTGCTGCTGGGTTGCCTATGCCTAAGGGTCAGGTGTATTAAGCAAGGAAAACTACTTTAATTTTGTTATTTTGCTGTGTGCTGTGTAGAGCTGGCTTAGTACATACCCGACCCGCAGCATGCTTGCCATCTCTTTTTGTTTTTATATAAACAAGAGTAAAAAAAAAATCCACAATGATTTCTGAAATACTGATCTTACTTCTTAACGGTGTCTTTTGTTGATCATCACAGCCGAACAGGCTTTCTGCCATCTCATCCAAGCAAACACGAGCAAACATATATGGAGATTTTCGTGTCACTTCTTGTGGTGCCTCCCTGGCCGATTCCTGGGTGAATCCCTGGCCTATTTCTGGCGTCTCCCTAATCCTGGGCATCTTTCTGTCCTTATAATCGTTGGCTGGTTTGTTTCTGATTGTCTCCTTGACCAAATCCTGTACAGCTCCCTGGCCTATACTTGGCAGTTGTATTAGGCAAGTAAAACTCCGGTTGTTTTACTGTGCAGAGCTGGCTTCGTGGGGAGATACGTATCCGGCTCTCGCACTACCGCCATATTTTTATGTTTTGGTGTAAACAAGAGCCAAAATCCAGAATGCTCTCTGAAAAATCCTAAATTCACGCGTCAGCTAGTGATCATCACGACCAAGTCTTTCTGCGATCATCCGAGCAAAATCGTAGCGAATGTATGGAAACTTTCATTTCACTTGTTGTGGTAGCTCCCTGGTGGATTCCTGTGGGAATTCCTGGGTAATTTCTGGCCTTGTCCTGGCCGGCCGGGCCCATGGCATAATATTGGGCGGCTCCCTGCGATATACCTGGACGGCTTCCTGGCCTAATCCTGTGTGACTGACCCTTGGCTAATTCTTGGTGGCTCCCTGGTTTAATCCTGAGTGGCTCCCTGTCCTACAGTACCTGACTTATTCCTGGATAGTTCCGTAGACAAATCCTGGATGGCTACAGGGTATTTGGGTTGTTTGCTGGGCGGCTAACTGTGGCTCTCTGGCCTATTCCTGGGCGGCTCCCTGACCTATTCCTGGGCGGGTCCGGCCCATTGCTGGGCGGCTCACTGGCCTATTCCTGGGTGAATCCCAGGCTTTTTTTTCTGAGCGGTTCCCTGCGATATTCCTGTGCGGCTTCCTGGCCGCCTAATCCTGTGTGACTGACCCTTGGCTATTTCTTGGTGGCTCCCTGGCCTAATCCTGGGCGGCTCCCGGCGATATTTCTGGGCGGCTCCCCGGCGATAATCCTGGATGGCTCCCTGGCCTAATCCTGGGTGGCTCCCCGGCCTATTCCTGGGCGGCTCCCCGGCCTATTCCTGGGTGACTCCCTGGCTTATTCCTGGGCGGCTCCCGACCTATTACTGGGCGGCTCCCCGGCCTACTCCTGGGCAGCTCACCGGTCTATTCCCGGGCGGTTCCCCGGCCTATACCTGGACAGTTCCCAGGCATATTCCGGAGCGGCACCATGGGCTATTCTTCGGCGGCTCCCCGGCCTATTCATTCCTGGGCGGCTACCGGACTATTCCTGGGCGGCTCCCTGGCCTCTTCCTGGCCGGCTCCCCGGCCTATTCCTGGGCGGCTTTCTGGCCTATACCTGGGCGGCTTCCCGGCCTATTCCTGGGCGGCTCCCTGGCCTATTCCTGGGCGGCTCCCTGGCCTATTCCTGGGCGGCTCCCCGGCCTATTCCTGGGCGGCTTTCTGGCCTATACCCTGGGCGGCTCCCCGGCCTATTCCTGGGCGGCTTTCCGGCCTTCCCCTGGGTGGCTTTCTGGCCTATACCTGGGCGGCTCCCTGGACAAATTCTGGATGGCTACAGGATCGATTACAGGTCGTCATGGGCTCTCTGGCCTGGATGGTTACTAGGTGGCCATCTACTACCGATCTATGGATCGTGGTTCTCGTGTGGTTTTCTTGGTGTTAGTCAGGAGTATGCGCTTAGTGGACACTTCGTGCATGTGCCGTTACCTGGGTTGCCAACGCATTTGTTTGCTTGTCTTGACTGTACGACTTAATGTATTGGTCTAATCTTGATTTTAGACAAAAGTGGCCTTGTCTCTGACCACGATAGTTAAAATGTGTTTCTTTAATTTGTCATCGCACCATTTTTGTCCGATCAATATTGTTTTTAGCATGTCCCCAGAAGGAAGACCGTATAAAACTATGTCTTGCAAATTATGGCAATTTTGGGTCGTCAAACTACGCATGATGCACACAAAAACCATTAAAATTTACACTCACCTTGTGCATTTGTCCCACCGATCGAGACACACAGCAGAAGAGCCGAGACCAACACCGTCCACTTCATGCTTCTGATGTCGCTGCAAGAGCAGAAAAAAAGTCACTAGTGATAATAAAGAACCCAAATTATAGGCAAATCATGAGCATAAAACGTTTTGCATATATTCTTGGAGCGACTGTTGCTCTCCCAAATCTCAGATGAACATAGAAACATAAAATTTGACAGAGTAACAATGACACTGGAAATGACACTTCCCAAGTCAGAGTGAGTGAGCACATTTCTTACCGTATGTTGTGTCCTCAAGAATGTCGTGAAAGTAGAAAAACTTTGGGGCAGCGTTCTGAACCAGTGTCAGCTCCGCGGCGCCCCAACTTCTCTTCTCACAGTTCAAAGAACACGATCTTCTAAAGTCGTCGAGAGACGACGTCGAAATACGCCAGCGTGTCAGGTACGGACCGTTTTGTCGCCTCAAACCTGAGCTGCTCCCATTGGTCCGTATTCTCGGAGCATCACGAGATCACCTCTCTACCAATCAGTAACTTCCCCAACTTGTGGCAATATCCCAACTGGTCTGCGCAGGTGTCTGTAACATCGCACGTTCTCCTCTGTTGTCAGTAAACAACAACCCACGCATATGCCGGGATCAGGACTTTGATCTGTCTACGTTTCATCATAGCGGCTTTGCGACTGTCTTGTGTATCTGGTTAATACAACTCTATAAGATACCATAAAATGAACTACAGTGTAAGTGTACTTGAATGTTCAACTCAACAGTATACAAGCAACCAGAACAATGTCTGATACAGTCAATATCTTTGCATAACATTGTATTTGATCCCTGCATTTATATGTTGGTGCCGTATCTCTTTTCAAATCTTCTATAGCTGGGGCCCTTTCATCTCAGCTATTAAAATCAATAACCATAAACATTTAATAACGCTGTGTGAGCTGCAGTTATTACCTTGACGTACTTTTCAACCTTTCTGTGCTTTACTGACGACCATGGGACGTCAATATAACATCTCATATATGATATCACTGACGCTTGTGGTCTGTTTTTACGCAAAAAAAAACAAAGCTACGCATGGAATGATTGATTTGGTCATGTTTGAAGGCTATTGCTCTGGATATAACAAGCTACTAGCCGCCGTTCGCTCAAGATATTCTGTCGATAGAGTGAAGAAAACTTAAAGGACGCGTTTTACTATTCTACGGTGGCTGTTCATCGACTACGACCCCGTCTTTTTCTATTATTTTTTGTCACGCTCAAACTCCTCCTTCTCAAATATCAACTAGAGTTCCACGATCTCATACCTTCGCCACATGTTAGCTTTTATGAATAAGAACTTATATACAATTTGTATTAATCCACCTGATTATGCAAATAGGATCCGCAATTGCATGAATTATATCTGTTGATCTGTCCACCAACAGTCTTATTTTAACAAAGAATGCCATTATAGCATTTCGTCATATATTATGCAAATGAGGTCCTTATTTGAATAAGTTATGTTAAATTATGTTTACCTTCACTAAACTCCAAACACCCCAAGTATAAAATTCCAGGCAGTTACCACTATGCAATTTTAACATTTTCTCATTAATTATGCAAATTAAGTCTTCATTTGCATAATCGATATATGCCTGTGTTTCTCTCGTTGTTAATAACATATGTCGCAAGCTTGAACTTCCTATTATGGAATGCAGCTGATTAATAGAATTTCCTCATTAATTATGCAAATTACATCCATATTTGCACAATTGTAATATCATAATGTCAAGCATTACTCAAGCTACCTACATACCAAAAATCATGATGATCCATCAATCGGTTCTTGAGTTATCCTCCTTTAAACATTTGTCCTTTAAACCCCCCTGCAGTTCTAGAGCAAGCAACTAGGTGGCCCAAACTCACGTCACTTCTTCCCCAGCACAAGAGCTACCTGCCATCCAAATTTCGTTACCATAGCATGTCTGGATCATGAGATATCAAAACCGGAAGTTCAGCTGCAGTACCATGACAAGCCGCCAGGGGGCCCAAAATCTAATCAGTTCGAGCTCTCATCAAGACCTACCCACCTACCAAATATCAAGATAATCCATCTAAGCTCTCTCGAGTTATGCTGTTGACAGACACACAGACACACACACACACACACACACAGACACACGGCCAGGAAAACATAACCTTCTCCAATTCTTGGCGAAGGTAATTATGTAAGATACATTGGTATAAGATGAGGCCCACTAAGTACTAAAAAATGGAAAAGATATACCGCCTGTAACATAGGCAGTAGATCATCGTTTTTTTTTAAATAGCTGCTGTTCTCTGAACTTCGTCCACTATACATGATATTGTAAATTGCACACTCTCCGTACACACTCAGCCCGCTGAATAGTTAATAGTAATACACCAAACCAAATTGTTTCCTCGGGCCACTGAAAGCTTAAAGATTTTTGAGAACCACAATCTACATATGCGTATCTTCTCTGCACAGTTTCCATTTTTAAAAGATGATATTTAAATCTCGCGCTTCTTCTTTTCCATGTAAATCCATCTGCGAGAATACACTAGACTTCCCCATCTTTTACAATTCAGGTTGTAATCATTATACGAGTGTTTTGTGGTGAAACATGGCTGTTTTGTAGATATAAGTAACGTCTAAGCTATATAATTAAGGCTTTTTGTTGCAATAGATCGAGCCTTTGTATTTGCCCTGCACGTTGAAGATCATACTCCATCATGAAACTCCATGATACCCCCCCCCCCGTTCATTCGCTCAAACCAAACCAAACCGAAGTATAACCTCCATGAAAAAAGGAGGTGCGTCTGTCTGTGTGTCTGTCTGTGTGTGTGTGTGTGTGTGTCTGTCTGTCTGTCAGTGTGTGTGCATAACTTCATAACGCCTTTATGGATTGTGATGATATTTGGTATGCTGGTAAGTCTTAGGAAGACGAAGGTCAAGGTCAAATATGGGCCTCCTGGTGGATGACCTTGGTACTGCAGCAGAACTTCCGGTTTTTGTATCTTTTGTAATGAACATGCTATGGTCTTGATGTTTTGGTGACAGATACCTTTTCCTGTCAGGAATAAGTGGTATGGGTTTGGTCCCCCTAGCAGCTTGTTCTGGAACTGCAGGGGACCTTCGGGCGAAATCTTTGAAAGCCAATAAGTCCAGATAGGAACAACGTATTTTCATTATTTTTGGTAGGTAGGTAGCTGAGAGAGAGATGTACATGATTAATGCAAATTATGCAAATGAGGACTTTATTTGCATAATTAATGAGGAAATTCTATAATTACAGTGTTTTACATTATAGTACTTTGATACATGTAATGTATGTAACCTATGGCAGATGGAACATCAACAGATACTAATTATGCAAATGATTACCTAATTTGCATAATTAATGCGAAAATTAAATGATTTCTGAATGGTGAATGATGGGAATGTCACTTGGGACATCTGTAAGTTAATCAAAAGTTAACATCACGATGCATATATTATGTTAATTCAGAGGTCACTTGCGTAATTAAAGAATAAATTTACATTTACATATCAAGCCAATATTTCATGGAGGTGTGAGATCTCGGAACTCTTGTTTCATTGTATGTGATTGCTAGTTTCATAGTGCACATCACGCTGAAAGCAGGTCGGTTAATGATAAGGTGTTCTATCTTTAGCTCGGGGCTTTGTTCATGTCTTACCTTTTTGAGAATCTTATATATGCTGTACTTTTAAATTGGAACTACATCATGAAGTAACATATTGGTTTTATGTGTTGTACACACGGCACTTATGTGAAAGTAGTAGTAATGGTTTATTCATTTATTAATTCATTAAACACTACACTCACATGTCATAACACTTTTCGCAGGCTTAATTGGGGTGATGACATTGGCAAAACGTAGAATTC